ACTTACCGTGGATCCATAACTAATGACCATGGTCTGCAGGCCCCACGGGATGCCGAGCCCCACCAGGATGTCAAACACATTGCTTCCTATGGTGTTGGACACCGCCATGTCGCCAAGGCCTGGGGACCACCAACACATTTCCGTCATCAAGAGCAGGTCTCTGGAAACCCGTGTTCTTTCTCACAACTGTCCCCTCAGTGCTATTCCTTAGAAAAGAATCCCCTCCTCATGGACCCTTCTTTCCTAAGACCTTTCTTGTGAAGTTTAAGATCTTCTCCCTTCAAAAAATTTAAAAGACCCTGTTACGGGTTGAATCGTGGCCCTCAGACTCACTTGTTGATGTCCTAACCCCCAGGTCTCCAGGGTGGGACCTTACTGGAGGCAGGGCCTCTGACAAGGTAAGAGGTTAAGATGAGGTCATTAGGGTGAGCCCTAATCCAACGTGACTGGAAGGACCTTGGACACAGCACACAGGGAGAAAGGCACTGAGGAGGAGGACAGCCCAGGAGGTCAGGACGGGGCCTGGGAGGGATTCTCCCTGCCTCAGAATCAACTCCTTGACCTTGAACTTCTGACCTTCAGCTGACATTCTCCGAGGACCCACCATGAGCTCTGCCTCACTTAGTGCTCCAGTTGTGCCGGGGAATTGGGGACAAGATCATCCTCATGGGGCTGATGATGAGGGGCACAGTGTGTGAGTGGCCCGTTGTCAGGACGCCTGGTCGGGCACCCTTTATGACAAGCCATCACAGTCCTGTTTATGGCCCAGGCAAAGGTACCTGGCCTTGGCCAGGATCACAGGGCATCCGATCTCATGCCTTGGTCGTTCCTAAAGGGTAAACTTTCTCCAAACAGAACAGAAGCGTCTCAGAGGCTGGGGGCCATGCCCACTGTCCAGTCTCATGCCAGCTACACCAGCTGAGTAGCTCAATCTCTTGAGGGGGATTAAAGTGCAGAGAGCAAATTCATAAATAAGACTCGTGCTGGCTGAAGTCTGTTCTAACTTCCCTTTCAGCCCTAATTTGACACACACCGAGGTCTGCAGAATGAGCACGCCTGGCACACGGTACCTATGCCATGACACTGCTTGGTGGCTGGGCAGCCCGGCAGCTCTGACCAACATCT